CAGAGGGAGGAGCAGAGGGAGGAGCAGAGATAGGAGCAGCAGAGGGAGGAGCAGAGGGAGGAGCAGAGATAGGAGCAGGTTGGAGGAGCAGCCTTCTGGGTTCCTCTGTAGTTTAACTCTGATGTAAACAAAGCTGTTTGCATCAGAGAATCACCATGGCAACGCTGAGTGACAGCACTGACTGCAGAAATCTGTGATGATGGCCATGCTCTGCTGTGAGCTGTGACGGTTGCCATAACAACAAGCGTTGCTGTGGCAGCCAGCCTTGTCACCATGGCGATGGGTTTCTGAGCACTTATTTCCAGACTGCATCACCAGAACCACCTGGACTGGCCGAGTCCAGACGGGTCTAAGTCCAGGACCTGAAGAACCTGGAGCAGGGCGACCCCTGCTGGCCATCAGCCGATATTACAACTGTGAGCAGGATTAGGCTGGAAAAAACAAGTACTGAATATAAAGTTTGGATTACTGAAAAACTGCAAGTTTTAAAGATTCATCTGGAAATATTTAGTTATTTCTTCAGCTTCATTCAATAAAACTTTTCTCAGTAAAAACCAGCTGTTCTCATTAGGGTGACATTTATTAACAAAAACATCAACATTTAGATATTAATTCAGTTGATCCAAAAGCTTTAGTTCTGAACACATCAGATCCTCCAATCAGATCAAAGGTTCATAAGGAAAACCAGATTCTATTGGATCAGGACGCTACAGAGGATGTTTGATATTTTTACAATAACAGAAGCTCAAAAAGACGCTACAGAAGAAAGATCAAAAGCTCTAATCATTTCAACTTTTTAATGCATAAACGTATAAGTCCAAGAATATAAATATAAATCAGATGGAGCAAATTAAAACCTCCTGATGACAGACAGGCGACTTCATTCAACAGGAAACAGCAGACGACCAACTATGGAGCCTGGATGTTCCTGACAAATTCATCCGTTATGAGGACAGCGAGAGCAACTTAAACCATCAGCGAAGCAGAACCACAGCCAGAAGATCCAGGATCTTTTCCACGATGCCAGCAAATCCAGGAGGATGTGGAAAGGCATTCGGATGATCACAGACTACAACCCC